ATATGGTAATTCTATTCATTTTTTGAGAAACTATACTGTTTCCCATAGTGGCTTAAATAATTTATGTTCCCATCAACAATGCAGAAGAGTTCCTTTTTCTCCACAGCCTCACTAACACTTGTTATTTTTTTGTCTCTTTGATAATAGCCATTCTAGCAAATATGAAGTAATATCTCATTATGGTTTTGATTTGTGTTTTTCTGGTGGTTAATGATGTTGAGCATCTTTTCATGTGTCTGTTGGCCATTTGGATGTCTTTTTGGGGGAAATGTCTATTCAGTTCCTATAGTCATTTTTTAATCCAATTACTTTTTTGTTGTTGAGTTGCATATATTCTTTATAAATTTTGAATATTAACATCTTATCAAATAGATTGTTTGCCTTTTCATTTTGTTGCTTGTTTCTTTTGGTGTGCAGAAGCTTTTAAGTTTAATGTAGTCCTATTTGTTGATTTTTACTTTTGTTGCTTCTGCTTTTGTTGTCCTATCCAAAAAATCTTTGCTAAAACCAACATCAGGGAGCTTTTCCCTATTATTTCTTCTAGGAGTTTTATAGTTCCAGGTCTTATATTTAATATATCTTTAAGCTATTTCAAGTTAATTTTTGTGAGTGGTGCGAGATAGGGATCCAATTTCATTCTTCGCTTTGTGGTTTCTAGTTTTCCCAATACAATTTATTGAAAATACTATCCTTTCCCTATTGCATATTCTTGGTTCCCTTGTTAAAGATTAGTTGACCATATATTAAAGAATTTATTTCTGGTCTCTCTGTTCTGTTCCATTGGTCTGTTTGTATTCTTATGCCAGTAACTTACTGCTTTGATGACTATAGCTTTCATTATAGTTTGGAATCAGGGAGTGTGATGCCTCCAGTTTTGTTTGTTTGTTGGTTGGTTTCCAAATTGCTGTGGCTGTTGGAGGGTTTGTTGTTGTGGTTGTTGTCGTTCCATACAGATTTTAGGAATTTTTTTTCTGTATCTGTGGAAAATGTCATTAGAATTTTGATAGGACTTGCATTGAATACATAAATGACTTTGGGTAGTATGGACATTTTAACAATTAATTCTTCTGATCCATGAACATGGAATGTCTTTTCATTTGTGTCTTCTTCAGTTTCTTTCATCAAAGTTTTGTAATTTTCACCATATACATATTTCATGTATTGGTTGAATTTATTCCAATGTATTTCATTGTTCTTGATGCTATAATGAATGGGATTATTATCTTTCTTTTTATGCAAAAGTCATAAAATGGATAGAAAATGTACATAAAACCAATAAATATAACTGTAATATTGCTAATAAACAGCTCTTACAAATTAATAGAAATGTCAAACACATGCAGTACTGACATACATTGGAAAATATTCTTATCTACAGTGGTTTGTTTTTGGGAATGAATTTTACATTCCCTATAAGTAGATAAATTAAAAAGTGATAGAGAAGAAGAAAACAATTTAAAAGTTCTTAAGACTTAGGTACTGATATTTCATTTGTAACAGAAATACAAACAAAATCTAGAATCACTAACTGAATGAATATATAGAATGTTTATTACATTTAGAGTTCTAGTAATTTCATACTAGACATTAGTGAATTATTTATTCATTTACTCATTAAATTTTTCAAACCTCTGTAAACACTAAATATATACTTGAAATATGCTAAGCATTATGGATATATGCCCATGTCTGGCTTGTGGCAGTTACAAGAAATTGAGGTGATAAACGTCACAAAGTAGTTATAATCTAATATGATTCAAGCTAAAAGAGAAGTATATGTTGTGTGCCATTACTGCGTACTACATAAAGAGAATGTAACTACCTAGAACAATGGCTTTCTAACATTTTTAACAGCATTATCCATTGTTTTTAAATGAAATATTATATGAAACCTTAATATTAAGGTGAGTAATATTTTAATAATTCAAATGTGTTTTTATAAGTTCAACGTTTTAAATTTTTTAAAGGAAATGTTTATGTGTATTCAAATGAGAGATAAGTTTGAGAGTGGCAGTACCAATATCCAACTTGTATTTGTATTTTTTGTGGTGATAAAATTTTCAACTTCATGTGGATAATAATTTCAAATGGAAAAGATTTGTTTTGTTTTATAGCCAGCTCATCTGGAGGTGTTAGAATAATTAGTTTTGAGCTGCAGTTGAATCACTTTCTATATCTTTACTCACTTCTTCCATCTCTTACAGTAAAGCAAAAAAACAAAAAACAAAACCCTAAATTTTTGGTAAGATGAATTATGCTATGATCAGAACACGCACTAAGTAGAAATGTATAATCGTCTGCTCCTGCAAACTCAGTTAACAGAGTACTCACACTCTGTTCAGTTCAGTGCAAAAAAAAAGAAAATGTATTGAACACCTACTTTATGATAATCAGTGTTACCAGTCTGTCCTTTAGAGCCTTCAGCCATTACACAAGTACATGTCATGGTGCTGTTGAAAAGAGTAACAGAGGCGCCACTGGATGGCTCAGCTGGTTAGGCACCTGGCTCTGGTTTTGGCTCAGGTCATGATTTCACAGTTTGTGAGTTCGAGCCCAGCATGGAGCTCTGCCCTGATAGCATTGAACCTGCTTGGGATTCTCTCTCTTTCCTTCTCTCTATTCCTCCCCCGCTCATATGTGCCCTTCCTCATTCTCTCTCCTCTCTCTCTCTCTCTCTCAAAAGAAATAAAAAACGAAAGAGGTAACAGGATGGTTAACCCTCAAGCTGGATCCAGGGTTAATTATATATTATTTACATAGTCTAAATTTTGACAGGCTTAGAGAAATATTTTAATGATACGGTGTTTTTATTGATTGGTGACATAGTATTAATTTATCAGCTAGTTAGAGAATAGACTGTGGTTGATATTTATTATGTATCACCACTTAGAGCTTCATTGATAGTGAATAACCAAATTTTTAATAGTAATTTTACTGTACAGAATTGATCATTTTACTTCTATTGAATTGCTAGGTAATTTATGATAAATGTTATTATAAAAGGAAACATTAACTATCCAAAATAATCCATTTACAGCAAATGCGTGTGTGTGTGCATGTACATGCACATCTTGTGGTTTATGCCCTCCTAGAGGATGAGTCACTGGTGCATAGTATACTACTGGTATAAGTTGAATTGCAGTCATTTAGATCTGTAGGAATATTCATCAAAATGTACCTAGAGAAAGACACATAGTTATTTTGGGGGGATTCATTAAATTTACCTAAAAAAAATAAGTGGCATTTTTTTCTTTCTCTCCTGAATATATAAGCGGAAACCTTATTAAGAGATTATTGTTAAGATTCTTGTGTATTTCTAAAAAGAAAATTTTGTGAAAATGAATTGGATTAAAAAAAGTTTTAAAACATTTTTAAAACACATAATACATTATTCTTACTTTATTTTGTTTAGCAGTGTTTATATATAAATATTTTAATGTTTAATTTTGAAAGATCACAAGCAGGGAAGGGGCAGAGAGAGGGGTACAGAAGATCCGAAGGGACTCTGTGCTGACAGCAGAGAGCCTGATGTGGGGCTTGAACTCATAAACCGCAATGTCGTGACCTGAGCCTAAGCTGGAGGCTCAACCGACTGAACCACCCAGGTGCCCCTAACAGTGTTAATTTAGAAACTAATCAGCCGTGGTTTGTTTGAGACCAGAAACAACTAAGACTACCCGCTCCTCCTTCAGGACCTTGGCTGCATACTTAGCATAGAATCCTTTTTTTAGAGCCTCCATTCCTGTGAACATGTACACTGTAAACGACAACATGGATTTAATAAGCAAAGAGCAAGTGAGGTCCAATAGAACATTTCATCACATAGTGATTTTTTTTTAATTTACTTATTTGGGGGCACCTGGGTGGCTCAGTCGGTTGAGCGTCTGACTTTAGCTCAGGTCATGATCTCACAGTCCGTGAGTTCGAGCCCCACATTGGGCTGTGCGCTGACAGCTTGGAGCCTCGAGCCTGCTTCACATTCTGTGTCTCCCCGTCTCTCGGCCCCTCCCCTGCTTGTGCTCTGTCTCTGTCTCTCAATAATAAATAAATGTAAAAAAATTTTTTTAATTTACTCATTTGGTTACATTTTCATCGTTCTTGCCATATGTGTATAGTACATATACTTTATTTACTTAATATTTTGTCTACCTACTTTCGAAATTAGTTCAAAATTTTTAAATGAATGTATTTCAGTATAATAAACAGAAAAAAATTTTGCCATAAAAAATAAAAACAAACATGGGGCGCCTGGGTGGCTCAGTCGGTTAAGCGTCTGACTTCGGCTCAGGTCATGATCTCACAGTTCGTGGGTTCGAGCCCCACATCGGGCTCTGTGCTGACACCTCAGAGCCTGGAGCCTGCTTCACATTCTGTGCCTCCCTCTCTCTCTGCCCCTTACCTGCTCATGCTGTGTCTTTCTGTCTCAAAAATAAATAAACATTAAAAAAAAAAAAACAAACATGATAAAAATAAAACAATGTTATCAAACTATAGGTAGATCTTGCTAAACTCTGAACATAAGGCCAGCTTTCCTTTTGTTAAAAAAATAAAAAGCACCGATAGGGCACGTGTTAAGATATACCAGCACCACACTAGGACTTTTTCCTTTAGTACTCAGAAGGACTGAAGAAGAAACAGAATGCAAATACATTTTAAACAGTGTGATTCAATGTTATTTAGTGCTATCTCCGAGAACTACACAAAATCATTTCCCTTACTGCCAGTTTAAGGGCATCCCTATGCTCTGGTAGACAATTTATTTTGTATATGTTTGTTTCAGGTATGCTTTCTAAAATTAGCATCCTGAGCTGAAATGTGAAGTTACCATTATATTACTAATTTTGAATAACTAAGTTCATTAAATGTTACCATATATTGACTCTTCTGTATATGTGTGACCCAGAACTCTGAGATTAAAGTGTGTATAAATTAAAGTATGTTGTACATGTGCAAATGAACTCTAGAAATAATAACAAAAATTATTTTTCCTGTTTTTACAGCTTGCAGACCAGGATTCTATAAAGCATTTGCTGGGAACACAAAATGTTCTAAGTGCCCTCCACACAGTTTAACTTACATGGAAGCAACTTCTGTCTGTCAGTGTGAAAAAGGTTACTTCCGAGCTGAAAAAGACCCACCTTCCATGGCATGTACCAGTAAGTCTACACATTTTGCATTTGGAAATCCTGTTTTCAACCCTTTTGGTCCCTTTATTCTAAATTGTTTTTTAAAAAGATATACAAAATCCTGTAGCAACAGTGTTTTTTGTCTTTGATAGCAATGAAGAAGAAAGTTTCTCTTTCTTCTCAGCATAATTGCTTTTCATCTGCCTGCAAAGAAAGTGTTTATTCCTCAGAATTCACGTTGACCCATGACATGCAAATCCCAGTGCTGGTCTGAGACCCTGAAAATTTTCCCGAACCTTAGTCTGTCCTTAGGAGGTTAAAGCAGTTTAAGGCTACCCAAGAATTTATAAGCAAAACTTGTTCTTTGCTTCACCCTTATCCATTTTAAGGCACATCAATTTAGGACCATCAAGTTTACTATGTGTGTTGGGGAGCGGTGGGGCTTTCAGACAGAACTTTTAAAGTCATTGTGCTATTGTTTTGCAGAAAAGTTCTAGTTTTCCTTGACATTTGTCTTTAAGGGAAGGTATTTTTTGGTTTGTCCACATTTCACCTCTCACATTCTCTCCAGTTTTGGGGTTGAAACCAACAGAATATTAAATTTAAATGTGAAGGTTATTTTAATGCATGCACTGAGAGTTTTAAATTATTTGTACTCTTTTATTATAAAATATTGTGAAATATATTTTACATTTAAAAAGTAAAATGAAGCCTATTAATGCATTGCTAAGCTATGCAAAAGTAAAATGTCACCTCTTAGATAGCTATAAAAGTCTTGTTAAATACATAAATAAGATATTATAGTGAAAATTTGCCCTTCTGTTTGATGAATTGGTGCCAAACTATTGCTTATCTTATGCAATTCCATAAAGGCAAAAATAGATTGAGAATTATATAATGTTAAATATCCCTTAGAGACGATGGTGATGTCTCATTTCTTTTAACTGATGCAGTTTGTAGATTTATCTTCATTACTACAGACTTTAATATAAAATATTTGTGTAGAACCCATTTAATAAAAATGTAACACATTCATTAGCAGATGTAAATTTTGCCTTCTGATTGTGAATACTGAGTGACCATTTTCTTCAGAAAATTGTAGCCTGGGAGATTACTACTTGGCATTTTTTCATTGGAATATATTTTAACTTAATAAATAGGAAGAGGAAAATTCAAAATATATTTTTCTTATCTAATTATGGAAATAGTTTTTAGTAGGAAAATCTTGCTGTTACTATACACAAAAAACCTCCTTGCATGGTTACTGTATATTATTATATTGTGGACAGCATACTTCAACTTAGGTAAATGGTGGTATTTCATATGGGTACAGTACTGCTAGGCAAGTATTTCTCAAAACCTGTATTGGAAACTGGGTGGAACTTTGTAGGTGAGTGATAGAGGATAATTTTTCTTTTTATTCTTAGGAGGCCATAAATAGACAATTGACAAATTGAAGGAATACCCTTCAGTAAGGTAGCAGGGTAGACTTGCAGTTCTTTGGAGTCAGAGTCTGGTTAAAGAAATAAATATTGGATGCAACATGGTCTATGAAGCTGGTAAACAAGTCAGTCATTGAATCAGAGATGTGTACTTATCAGCTTTGTATTTATGTTTTTAAGGGTTATTTCTTTTAAATATATTTCCTTTTTTATCCTTGGTATACAAATTATCTTTATATGTTTTTCTTTTTTTATCTTTTGTATGTTTTAATTTCATTTTAATCAGTAGATATCATTTGCCAGGGAACTGTAATTGTCTGATCTTTTGCCATCTTTATTAATGTCTTGTTCATGATGGATTTATTTTATTTTATTTTATTTCATTTCATTTCATTTCATTTCATTTCATTTCATTTTAATTCCAGTATAGTTAACATACAGTGTTACATTAGTTTTAGGGGTACAATATAGTGATTCCACAATGTCATACATCACCCGGCGCTCATTGTGACAATGCTAGTCACAGCTATCCAGGCGGAAGCAGAGAAAGGTTTGATACTGGTTATTGTTGGGCAGAGTTTTAGAGAATGGCATAGAGGTTGGCATCAAAAATTGAAAGAGAAGACCCTCCTAAAAGAGATGAAAGCTTTAGTCAGATCTCCCTAGTCAAGCCCTAGGAGGCTCCCCTCTCAAGGCTTCTCTGTGTTACTTCCTTAAGGACTTCTGTGTGATGTTATAACAAAGACTTAGCATAGTGTATTTAAGCTCACCATCTTTGAGTCAAATTATCTGTGCATGATTCTCGGTGTTGGTACATCATGACTATGTAACCTTGGGCAAATTCTCTTCACCTCAGTTATCTCATGCATAGTGATAATAACAGTACTGTTATTAATAACAGTATGTAACTCATTCTGTAGTTACAATGATTAAATAAGTTAGTAGCTGAAAAGTGCTAAGAACAATACCTAGCACATAGTAGGTGCTACATACATGTTTGTTTAGCACAGAAAGCTGTTCTTTTACAGTTCATTTTGAAATAGGTTTTGATCAGCTAGTATTCAAACTATTACACAGTTTATGGTTGATACTACTATACTAGGCTCATGGATTCCATCATCTGCATTACTACAAACTGAAAATATGTATATACTGAATTCTTGACCTTTTCACAAAATACATTAAGTCCTGTACCTCCATTGCCTATCTAATAGGCAGGTTTTCTGAAATACAGTCTGACTAGGGTGAGAGACCCCAACAGTTATTACAATATATACAGAAAAGGTAAGGAGCATAAACTCCCAAGTATCATTACTCCTAAATATCATAAACTTAGATTGTTAGGGAAGAAAAATCAGAAAATGACAAGGTAGGAGGTCATTGAAAATCAGACTTAAGAGGACCAGGATAAGTTCACTGAGATCTAGAACATTTGAGGCCAAGAATCAAGCAATCAGCCTTTCCTATCTTTCATTAATCACAAACAATAGCCACATTTTAATAGATACTTGCTTTCTTAACTGCTATATCATGTATCTATGAATTAGACATTCTTTATCACCTTTGTTCCAGTAGTGTATTATCTAAAGGGCAGAATTTGGGTTAGTTAAGCAGTCAGTGCCATCACTTTCTGGGATTTTTGTCAGTCTTAGCATTTGAAACTGCATTCAGAGAATTTTTTAGGGATTTAAAAGGAGGCATATTTTCCCTTAGTATCAGAGGCATAGAGATTTTAAATGTATGAGTTTAAAAGAAAGTGAAGGACTGAAATGTTGGAAATGATAAACCAGGACATTTGGCTAGTAAATGGCCTACTAGGGAAAGATTTTATATATAGGTATAGTATGTGATCATATAATTGATATGATTTTAAGGACTGTAAGAAGTCTTCCACTGCTCCTTAGTGCCATCATCAAAACTGTAACAGCAACCCTTAAAAATGTAATTTCACCATTAAGAGTTTTTATGATTTATTTGCATTTTCAATGTAGAGATAGGTATCTTTTTATTTCATAATCTTGAGACACATCATATGTAAGATTTATTCACATAAAAAGTTGTATTAAGATTTTATTCTTTTAGAGCAGTTTGAGATTCACAACAAAACTAAGAGAAAATGTAGAAATTTCCCATAAATTTCCCTGCTCCTAAATATGCATAGCATTCCCTATTATCAGCATCTTCTACCAAAATGGTACATTTCTACAATTGATGAACCTACATTGACATATCCTAATCACGTAAAGTCTACAGTTTACATTAGAGTTCACTCTTGGTGTCATACATTCCATGGGTTTGTAAAATGTGTAAGGGCATGTATCCATCATTGAAGTATCTTACAGACTATTTTCAATGCCCTAAAACACCTCCGTGCCCCACCTATCCATACCTTCTACCCCCTAACTTCTGGATACCACTTATCTTTTTACTGTCTCCATACCTTTTGCCTTTTCCAGAATGTCATATAGTTGGAATCATACAGTATGGCTTCTTTCACTTAGTAATATGCATTTAAGATTCCTCTATGTCTTCCATGGCCAGATAGCTCATTTCTTTTTAGTGCTGAATAATATTCCATTGTCTGGATGTGACATAGTTTACTTACTTATTTACTTCCTGCAGGACAACTTGGTTGCTTCCCAGTTTTGACAGTTATGAATAAGCTGCTGTAAATGTGCATGTGGAGGTTTTTGTGTGGACATAAGTTTTCACTTTAGGGTAGATACTAAGGAGTGTGATTGCTGGGTTATATGGTAGGAGTATGTTTAATTTTGTTAAGAAACTTCCAAACTACCATTTTGTGTCCTACCAATAAAGAATGAGAGTTCCTGATGCTCCACATCCTTGCCATCATTTGGTGATGTCAGTATTCTGGACTTTGACCATTTCTAATAGGTGTCTAGTAGAATCTCATTGTTGTTTTAATTTGTATTTTTTCCCTGTTGACATGTAATGTGGAGTGCCTTTGCATATGCTTTTCATCATCCATCTATCTTCTTTGAAGTGGTGTCCCCATAAACAAGTGGTTACAATGAAAAAAAATGATGCCTTATATTCAAAGTTAATTCTTCCAATGGTGGTGGGCAGAAGAGTGACCTGATCCTCAACCTATTGGACATGGCTATTGTAGTTTCCTTCTTTGCCATTTAGTTTCCACTAACTCCTTCCTCACAACCTATATTTGAATTTCTATCATTAAAAGAATACTCCAAGTCTAAAATTTTTTCTCCACAAAAAATATAATCTTGTTAAAGCAGGCTTTATTGGCTATCATTACTTCTCCATTTTTTATTTGCTTTTTACTCTACTGTATTAAGATTTTTGCTCTTCACTCTAGGAGAGCAATTAGATTTTTTCCCTACCACTTCACGTAAAATATGTAAGAAAAATTCACCAATTATCTTTGCCATTTTGTTTAAGTAATGTTTTTGTCCTGCTATTCATGGTATTTAACTCTGTTGTTTGAAACTCTCTGTTTCCTTTCATTCTAGGACCTGTTCACCCTTCTAATTTTCTCACCATTGTATTTGTCACCATTGATAGTTTCTCTTCTTTTCCTTACCTGTTAAATATTAATTTTCCTCATGT